AGGGCCGCCTGATGCGAAAGATCATCTTCGGCCTGTCAGCTGTGATCCTCTTGCTTCTCACGGGCACGTTCATTCTTTCCTACATGGCGGTGGATATGGCCAAGGAGATGCGAGGTGAGGCAGATGGGGTCATGCAAACCCCCGACGGCGAAGTCGTCAAGGCCGGCCTGCACATGCTTGGAACTCCACGCTCCTTGTAGAACATCTTCACAGGCACAGACAGCCCAAACCCAACCCCGCTCGTTAAGCCTCGGCTGGGGCAGGTGGCCAGTTCAGCCTTCGACGTCCAGGCCGACGGTACAGTGGTGACCCGCGGCGAGGCGACATGTGGGGTTCCCGCTCTGTTGGCTAGTGCTGGCGTGCAGGAACCGTAAATGTAGTCGCTGGTGGGCTCAAGAAGTGCGAAGCCGCCCCGTCAGGTGACCCCGACATGCCCGGCAAACACGACTTGCCGACGCCTGGCCAGTTCACCCGGCGTCTTGCAGGCCGGGGCGCTGAAGAGCTTGAAAGCTTCCTGAAGAAGGGCAGAAGCCTAAGCTCTGAACCGTCGACCCCACACCCAGCGTAGGGCAGAAGTCTAAACTCTGGAGCTCAGCGAAGCGTGGCGCCCAGGTGGCGCAGTCCAAGCCCGGGAAAGGGCTCGTCTCCACGCTGCCAGACGACGTCTTCAAGAACCTCGACATGGCGAAACCGGGGAACGATGTATCTAGAATCGGGTGATGCTATGTGATTTTCACTCGCAGCATCATGCAACCCATGCAAGCACTTGGTGTCTTATCAGTCTTTATCTTTGACATACGACACTCCGTCGAGATTTCTCATGGGTTTAGGGGTCGTTCGCTCAGGGTTAAATGTCCGCAGTGGAAGGCTGGGTCTGGAGTCACTGACTTGCAAGGTTTGCATGAGCGAGTGCAGTTGCTTGCAGCTTTTTTAATCTGCTTGCTTTGCGGGCTGATCGTGGGCGCTACTGCTGCCACCTTGCTGCTTTCTCGTTCTGCAAGGAACGTGCTGCTTGGGTGTCTGGGAGCAGTAGTGCGTGAATTTCAGGGAGCCCCTCGTGGAGTTCCTGAAAATCGACTTGCCAGGTACCGAGTGCATGAGCACCACGATCAACATCAACATAGCGACCAGCCCAGGACCTGTGCCTGGCTCTTCCTCAGTTTGTTTTGTGCTTCCACTCGTGAGTCTGAAAGCAGGGGCCTAGAGCCACCTACCAAGGCTGCTCTCCCGAGGAAAGGATTCGGAACGCCTATCTTCTCGGGCGCAAAGGCGCCGCCA